AACTAGCACTAACACAAGTAGGTTCTTTCTTTAGACAATATATAAGAAAATATTTAGTAAGTTATCTCCAGAATTTTTAAATAAGTTTAATCAGCCGGGTGCAGAAAAAGTTAACATAGTTAAGTTCTAACTTAAAAAGCTTAAGTCCTTACTTAAAAAGTCCGCCCTTAGCTGGCATCTGGGAACATGGATTTCTGGAATGTTCCTACTATTAACCCATATAAGTGGCTCACAGTATCTAAATTGTTTGTACAAACAATATTATTTCTGCAAACCCCTGCTTTTCCTCTAAGAATCCGAAATTTGGGTATATGCCAGACAGAGGGTTCCTGTATGATCAGACCCCAGTGAAAACCTTGGGTGTTCAGTCTCTAATGAACTTCCTGTTGGCAACATTTCCTATTCGTCACAGCTTTTTTCTTGAGAAATTAAGCACATCTTGTGTGACTCCACTGGAAAAGCAATCTTAGAAGCTTACATCTGGTTTACCTGGGACTGAGCCCCATGGACCTTCTCTGTTTGCTGGTTATGCTTTTTATCCTTTCACTATAATAAATCGTAACCATGTGTATGACTACATGCTGAGTCCTGTGAGTTCTAAAGACTTCCCAAAACTCAGAATGGTCTTGAGGACTCCCAACACAATCTCCTAATCTACTTCTACAAAAATCAGTTAATTTGAGGATTAGTTGTTAGCATCTCAAGATAGGAAATGCCTTCTAAACGCATTACTAATGAAAATTTTAGGAATTCTGTCAAACAAAAAAATCTACAACAATGGATTATAATTGTAACTTGTGATTTTGATTACAGTGGTATAACCAATATTACAAAGCATTGGTAGGAAATTATATTTCAGTTGTCGTCAGGATGTTATCCAAAATGACATCTGAGTCATTGTAGAGTGCCCTTTGTATTAGGCAGGAACCCTGGGCAAAATTCAGATCTCTTTTGACTAAATTAGGCTTACCTTGAAGTATAGGTTTTGCTTTTATATTACAGTGACTCTTAACAACTGCTTGAGGGTTTTAGGGGTTTTTTTTTTTTAACTTTAGAAAACTAACAGTTAAATTGCAACCCAATCTCATCTACTGTACAAGAATGTATCCTATACATGTTTCTCTTCACTAAGCTCATTTTAGCTATTGTATTTTCTGACTCGTAATTTGTGGTGTTTTTTTTTTTTTTTTAGAGAGAGAGCATGCACAAGTGTGGGGGAGGGGCAGGGGCAAGGGAGCCAGAGAATCTTACGCAGGCTCCACGTCCAGTATGGAGCCTGACACAGGGCTCAATCTCAGGACCCCGAGATCCTGACCTGAACCGAAATCAGGAGTTAGATGCTTAACCAACTGAGCCGCCCTGGTGCCCCTACTTGCATTTTTAATGTGTCCTAACTTCCTCAGTATTTTTCTCTTTTGTTGCTTGTATTGTTGCCAGACATTTCAAAACTTTTCAGATGAGCCATACTGGAAAGAAGAAAAGGAGTACTGAATCGACAACATCTGAAAAAAGAATAATGAAAAAAAAAAAAAGGTAAACAGTTAATACAGGAAAATGAGAATGAAAGAGTGAGAATTCTAGGGGCGAAGCACTTTTAAAATCAAGGCAGTATGTTGGAAATTTCAATTCCTTTAAATAAATGTGGCTATTTTGCCTTCTTTCCTCATAAATCTGATACTTAAGTTAACTCGTCTCAGTAGCTGAATATATGAAAACACTGGGGTTTTGCTTGATGAGTTCAAGGGCAATTTATTCCCTTTTGGAAACTAAAAGCTCATTAATATCTTTTCAACTTAAGAATAAGTTTTCTTTTTCCCAAAAGTTTACATTTAAAAGCAAGTGTTTAAAACTTGAAACACATTTTCCCACGGAAAAGTTATTACAGTGGTTAACTGTCAGGCCATCCCAGTGAACTCTTTAAACTTATAAAAAGTCAAAGTAGACATTTGCAATGAACATAGTATAAAACTGTATTATGAAAAAAAAAAAGCCCTTGCCTTTCAAATGCAAAAGTTAAATTTCCACATGCAGTTTAAATGTATTCTAATCAGATCCATTACTACAGTGTCTGAGCCAGGACCTCGCTTTGGGACTCTTTGCATAACCACTGCAAATGGAGAGGGAAGAATGAACTTGGGTGGGTGGGGCATGGAGAGACCCTGTGCACAGTCTGGGAAGGTAAGTATGCTGTATTTACCCAGATTGGTTTCTACTCTGATTTCTGGGGGTACAATGAAGTTGGTACCCCACGAGATAGAAAAGGGATGGAAAGGGGATTTGGGCTTCTCAGAATCCCAGAATCATTAATATGCTACTATCCACAGGGTGGGTAATAGGGTATATCTCTGGGCAGCTGGTAAGCATGAATGACCATCTGGATAACTCTTTAAGCAGGTGGGTTCTGAGTACCACAGGTGGGCAGCAACAGGCAGTGGACCTGGGCCCCTCTTAGCAGTGTGCTTCCCGCCAGAAGAGAAACAAAATGGATTCACATAGGGGACCTGTGGAAATGCCAAAAGTGTGAAGAAGATATAAATTTCCAACATGGAAGATCAGAAGAGGAAACAAAGGTATAAGACGTGTATCTTGTAGCAGTGCTAGCCAAAATGTTAGACCCAACTGGGCTCACCATTTCTAAAGCATCGCTAGGCCTACGTTTGACGTATTTCAGGTTTGTCTATCCTGGTCTGGGGAGGCACTTCACAAATAATCCTGCTTCTAAACACTACACATTTGTTATTCATTCTGTAACTGGAAGCCTGTATGTTCCAGGCAACTTCACCCATTTTGCCCACCCCCCACCCCCAACTCCCTTCCTCTCTGGCAACCATCAGATTGTTCCCTGTATTCACAGGTCTGATTCTGCTGTTGTTTTTTAGATTCCACACGAGTGAAATGATATATTTGTCTGTCTTAATCTGACTTACTTCACTTAGCATAATATCCTCTACGTCTATCCACATTGTCACAAATGGCAGTCTCCTTGTTATGGCTGCATATTCCTGTGGGTGTGTGTACACACCACATCTTACTTATCCATTCATCTATTGATGGACCCTTGGGTTGCTTCCGTATCTTTATCGTAAACAGTCTTGCAATAAACATATGGGTACATGTTTTCAAATTAGTGTTTTCATTTTCTTTGGGTAAATACCTAGGAGTGAAATTATTGGACCATGTGGTGTTCCTAGCTTAAATTTTTTGAGGAATTTCCGTACTGTTTTCCACAGTGGCCTTCCCAATTTGCATTCCTACCAACAGTGTATGAGGCTGCCTTTTTCTCCACATCTTTGTCACTTGCTATTCCTTGTCTTTTGATTTTAGCCATTCTGACAGGTGTAAGGTGATACCTCATTGTGATTTTGATTTACATTTCCCTGATGACTAGTGATTTTGAGCGTTTTCTCATATGTCGCTGGCCGGAAGATGAGAGGGATTTATGACGCAAACTGGATATGGCTTAGGATGCTTCTGCCCAGATTTCACTGGCTACAGCCCAATCATGAAGTCCTTACCTTACTGCAAGGAAGGCTGGAAAATGAGTCTTCCTGTGGGGCCCAAACAGAGGAAATGGATGACATTCCACCAATTTTGCCAATATCTTTATGTACCGTAACTTTATTTCAAAGGATTTATTTCTGGACTATGAAATTTCTATATCGTGTGTCATCACTTTGTATAATGACCATAAGAACTCCTATTTCTTCAACAAAGTAATAATATTTGGCACCATATTTGCTTTTTGAAATCTCCCCTCTGAGAGAAGAGTAGAAACTGATAGCAGGGTCCTGGTTTAACTTCCACCAAAAAGAAGCATTCTCACTGTGCAACTAGGAAGGGCAAAGAAACCAAGCAGCCTTTATTTCATTACACATGTTGACAGTTGGCGGAAATGGCGCACACAGTGGCCCCCAGGTATGTCCTGCATTTTGCAGAGATTATTGGCTGTGGTTTTCCCCGACATTCCTGCACCACTGGATTTCTAAAAGCCAGCAAGAATTTCTAATGCCTTTTTCCTTCAGTCTGACAGGTTAGTGAGCATCTCATTTCTTGTATAAAATCTCTTCCTACTCAAAATATTTAAAGCAATTTTTTCTCCAGACCAAGACTAACTTACATATCAACCTAGCATTTGTCTTTAGTGAATCATTTTTCTCCAAATATAATTTTTTAGTTCTTGTATTTCAAATATATGTGTTGTATGTTATAGCTATGGAGCTGCTACCTGCCTCAGCCTTAATGAACATAAATATTTTATAAAACTTTTAGTTTTTATATTTTAAAGGTATTAATCCATCTGGAATTTATTTTTGCCTATGTTGTGAGTGCTAGTATAATTTATTAAATAAATCACATTTCCCCACCCAACTGAGATACATCCCTGTCCCAAGTGGCTCGACCGGTTTCTAGACCACCTAGTCTATTCCAGTGATTTATTTGTTTATTTCTAAGCAATGCCACATAGAATTCTTTGCTGTGGTTCTATAAAATAGTTTAATAACTGGTTTATAAATTTAAATTCAATGGAAACCATCTAACACAATAATTAGTGCTACCAGATTAACTCATTTATATAAAGAACTCAAGATAAATCATATTGTTCTATCTCCGTGCATGTATTTGAACTTCCCACAAATATTAATAAGAGTAACAACTAAGTGCTTGGGTAATAGAAGGCAGCAATGGTCAGTCCTAACCTGATCCAAATGCACGAGAAGGAGCAGGCTCAGTCTTCTCACTGATTGCTGTTATCTTCAGTGAGTATTAAAATATTAAAATTTGATTTTATTAAATTAAATATGTATTTTATTAAAAATAAAAAATTAAAAGTATTAAAAATTGAATTTGTAATGTTATTGCAATCAAATGCTACTTTTAAAGTTTATATATAGTTTATATATAGGACTCCATAAGAGATTCTGTTTATAAAATGGGTACAGTTATTGCTAAGTTTTAAAATTATTGGTCTAACACATAAATTTGTGTTGCTTCCAATATCAATCATTCAACTGTTTTTCTGATTTTTTTTATTGAGATAAAATTTATATAACATAGAATTCACACTTTAGAGCGTTCAATTCAGCAGCTTTTAGTACATTCAAAAAGTTTTGCATTGATCACGACTATCTAATTCCTGTTTGTCTCATTTTTTTATTATTAAAAAATGGAAAAACAAAAGTACAATTTTCATTCAATAAATACCATTTGACCCTTATACAGTTTTGTTACAGGAAGTGAAGTCCATGATTTTAGGATGATGGTAGTAATTTATCAGCCAAGTAATCAGTTTTCACACAGTTTCTATAACTGCAGCAATTTCCTTGAACTGTCTGTAGAAATTCTGGAGAGAAAAAGGAAAAATAATATTAACTTAGCTTTTAAAGGATATGCAAGTAATTCTTTAACTTATTACACCTGACCATTAAAGACCATATGACATATTAAATTTGTTATGTTAAGTTTATATCACTATTATTATTGGAAAGCTATATTTAAAAAAAAAAAAACGGGTACAATTTGGTACCACAAGCAAAAATACTATTACAGAGTTGGATTATTATCTCACAACTAAAATATTTAAAATCACACACAAAAAAGTTCTTTTGAGATTATACCAGAAAGAGTTATTAAATACCCAACACTGTACTAGGCAATGAAGATAAAAACAAAAATGACAGTTTGGGGGGCACCTGGCTGGCTTAGTTGGTAGTGGGTAGTTCTTTTTTTTTTTTTAAGATTTTATTTATGTACTGATTTTAGAGAGGGAGAGCAGGTGGAGGGGCAGAAGGGAAGGCAGAGGGACAAGCAGACTCTGTGCTGAGCATGGAACCTGATATGGGGCTCAATCTCATGACCGTGAGATCATGACCTGAGCAGAAATCAGGAGTCAGATACTCAAGTGACTGAGCCACCTAGGCACACACAACGTGCAGCTCTTAAAAAAAAAAAAAAAAAAAAATCCATTTCCAGGCTTTAAACCACTTTAAATCTAATGAAAGACTTTTTCAGGATGATAGGAGCTGTCTTCTTTAAGATATGGGTTTATTAGTTACAGTAAGAAAGACCCAATACTAGGGCGCCTGGGTGGCTCAGTAGGTTAGCGTCTGCCTTTGGCTCTGGCCATGGTCCTGAGTCCTAGGATAGCGCCTGAAGTTAAGCTCCCTGCCTGGCGAGGAGCCTCCTTCTCCCTCTTCTCTCCATTCATGCTCTCTGTCACTATTTCTGTCTCTCTCTCAAATAAATTTTTAAAAATCTTAAAAGAAAAAAAAAAGACCCAACACTGACAATGACTTATATAGTAAAAGGATAGTTTCCTTTCATTTAAAAATTAGCTGGTATGTTTGTTCTCCTATAAAAATCATCTTTTTTTCCATCTCCCAAATCTCCAAGAGAGGAAGTAAACAAATTCTGTTTTCCTTTCTTCTCTACCTGCTAGGAACTAGGAGGCAAATCTGAAACTTAACCTCAGCAATTAGGATATGCTCTAATGATTTACATATCTGCATTTCCTTCTTATTTGGTCTTAATTCTCTTTGCTACTTAAAAGTATATATATTTCATTTTAGTTTATATGTAATGAAGCCAGATGTAAAAACTATTTCTTTAAGACTATATACTGACGGTCAAAATCTCAGCTACAAGAAAGATACAAATTAAAAGCTCAAAAAAGTTCCTATTCTCTCAGTCCTGCTCTGTTCTTGGTTAAAAGCCATGTAAAAACAACCTTTAAAAAATGTGTCCCATTTGTGATTCTTTTCTATAGGAAAAAAAATTCTTAGAGGTAGAATCAGAGAGCATGAATGCTATATAAAAAAATAAGAATTGGGCCAAGATTGTGAATTATATGAAGGAATGAAAACTATTGTTGTTGTGTTTTTTAAGATTTATTTATTTATTTGACAGACAGAGATCACAAGTAGGCAGAGAGGCAGGCAGAGAGAGGGGAAGGGAAGCAGACTCCCTGCCGAGCAGAGAGCCTGATGCGGAGCTTGATCCCAGGACCCTGGGACCATGACCTGAGCTGAAGACAGAGGCTTTAACCCACTGAGCCACCCAGGTGCCCCATGAAACCTAATTTTTTTTTTTAAATTGATTTGGTCCTTATATTCAATTGAAGGCTACTCACATATCATATTATACTATATTTCCTTTTAGACAAGTCTTAATTCTTTCCAGGATGCTACTTAGCATAATAATGTTGAATCTGTGACCATAGGTTTTTGTTTGAAAGCAGCAGTATCTATTTTAAAAGAAAGAAATCAAAGGGAACAAAAACCCTTAAAATGTAATTTGTAAAACAGAACTACCATATGATCCAGCAATCCTACTTCTCGGTATATATTCAAAGAAAATAAAATCACTACCTCAAAAAGGTATCTGCACTCCCATGTTCTTTGCAGCATTACTCACAGTAGCTAAGGTATGGAAACAACCTAACTGTATTTTGACAGATGAATGCATTTAAAAATGTGGTGTGTGTCTGTATATATATATATATATGTATATATATATATATATACATATATATATATATATACACAACAGAATACCATTCAACCTTAAAAAGAAAGAAATCCTGCTATTTTTGACAACATGAATGAACTAGGAGGACATTATGCTAAATGAAATAAGCCAAACACAGACAGATAAATATTGTATGATCTCACTTATCTGTGGGACCTTAAAAGTAGAACTCTTGGTTACAAGAGAGTAGACTGTGGTTACCAGGGTTGGGGAGTAAGAGAAATGAGGAAATGTTGGTTCAGAAGTACAAACTTTCAGTTATAAGATGTATAAGTTCTGGAGACCTAATGTATAGTATGGTGACTATAGTTAATAATAATGTATTGTGGAGTGGCTGCAGCCACTCTGGAAAACAGCATGAAGGTTCCTCAAAAAGCTGAAAATAGAGCTACCCTACGACCCAGCAATCACACTACTGGGTATTTACCCCAAAGATACAAATGTAGTGATCCAAAGGGACACCTGCACATCAATGTTTATAGCAGCAATGTCCACAACAGCCAAACTATGGAAGGAGCCCAGATGTCCATCAACAGATAAATGGATAAAGACATTGTGGTTCATATATATACATCAAAAAATGAAATCTTGCCATTTGCAACAACATGGATGGAACTCTAGAGGGTATTATGCTAAATGAAATAAATCAACCAGAGAAAGATAAATATCCTATGATCTCACTGATATGCGGAATTTGAGAAAAGAGGCAAAGGATCATAAGGGAAGAGAGGAAAAAACGAAACAAGATGAAACCAGAGAGGGAGACAAACCATTAAGGGACTCAATCTCGGGAAAACAACGTGACGGTTGCTGGAATGGAGGGGGGTGGGAGGGATGGGGTGTCTGGGTGATAGACATTGGGGAGGTATGTGTTTTGGTGAGTGCTCTATATTGTGTAAGACTGATGAATCACAGACCTTACCCTGAAACAAATAATACATTATATGTTAATAATAAAAACAATAATGTATTGTGTACTTGAAATTTGCTAAGAGAGTAGACACCACACAGACACGTATAAAAGGTAGCCATACAAGGTGGTGGATTATGTTAATTAACTTGATTGTGGTAATCATTTCACAATGTACACGTAATACCAAAACATCACATCATATACCTTAAATATATATAATTTTTATTTGTCAGCTATACCTCAATAAAGCTAAGGAAACGGTGTAGATTGTAAAAGAAATCAAAAGCATCCTTTGGCCCATGAGAAGCTTTTCTTAAGAAGGAAGCCTAGAACCAGCATATTTTCAGTTTTACAAAGAATTCTCATTATATTTCCATTGCATTCACTTGGTGGTTGTTGTTTTTAGAGTACTTTTTCTTAGAGTACTAACTACTGTGGGGAGTCTTAAGTATTCAAGCAATCAAAACAAACAAAAAGAAAACTCTAAGGCCAATTAAAGTAGTCAATGATAAAACATTTCCTTGAATATATCTTAAAGAAAATCTAATTTTTCACTCATCCCCTTTTTTTCTTCCTTGCTTACAGAAAAGAGGTAGAAATGATCATATGAATAAGATGACTCTACATATAAACTATTGAGTTACTCAAACCTCTAGCTGATAAAACTATCATCAAGTACTGGTACGCTGATCAGAATTTTATAAACATTGTGAGTCAGAAAATTCAGGGTCAACACTGTTCAAAGATAAGATTCATTTAGCTATCATTCTCAAATACTAAGCCTAAAAAGAATAAAAGTAGAACAGTAAATGCAAAGTTCATCTTCCTGCCAAAGAAGATGAAAATTCCCTAAATATATTCACAGAGGAGTACTGTGAAAGTGATCAAATATGACAGTATACCAGTTCAGCATTATATTGAAAATAGTGAAATTTATCAAATTCCCAAAGAAAACAAGTTCAGATCTTTTGTGTGTACTAATAAATATAAAGCACATCAAAACTGAAAGTAAAAACAATTACAATTTTCCTTAAGAAAGATTTTAGACATTTTAAAGTAGCAATTACAGAACAATGAACTACAACTGAATGAGTAAAATCACAAACCTGAAATTGTGGAATTGTCATTTCAAAGGACTTGTTCTTTACTTGGCCTGAATGATCTGCCACTTTCAGCAACACCGCAACATAAGGATACTTAAGAGATCTGCAACTGTCCGAGCTCACAGCCATACCCAGCTTCCACTGAAAATCTACAAGCTGTAATGAAACATTATAGAACAATACATGGGTAATAACACTGCCATGAATGCAGATATTTATTCAATTTTACTGCTCTCACACTGAACTTTTAGTTTCAATGCCAGTCACAGTAAAAGAAAATATCTTCATTTTAATATTGCTAGGGGAACAATAATCAAATGAAAATGGAGAGAAGCAATATGGGATAGAAACAGAGTTGGAAAACAACACTGTCATCATTACAATAGAACACACACACATCCATCTTTACCAGATGTACAATGAAAGTAGAAGGAAGATGTGGTACCACTTCTGGTTTTCCCTTCATTTTGCTCCTGCATTTAATGGGACCACAAATGCTTTGTAGCCTCTCTCACCTCATTCTCCTGTTCCATATATGCTTTATCCTATTCCACGACCCAAAATCCTAAAATGGAAGATGAGCTACATAACATCTTCATATGTGACTGGGACCCCCAGGGGAACCATTCCAGTTCCCTTGCTCACCATGGTCCTCGACCTGAAGCCATACACGAGCATAAGCATTTGGTGACAAGGTCGTTTTAGATTTTATCACTGTTAATGATGAACACCTGTCAGGTGATGTGCTATGTAGTTTATATGTATTAAATGCCTCACTGAATCATCATAACATTATAGGCTATTATTTCCATTTTGCGGACGACAAAACTGAATTTCAGAGAGCTTAGATAATGTGTGCAAGGTCACACATTTCTGTGATCAGAACTGAAACCAAAGTCTGCTTGACTCCAAAGATTATATGCTTATTGACTACTGGCTGCCTTAATACTTTTAATCTAATTTCTGTTGATGATCGCTCAGTGTTCTGGGCATAAAACAGGATTGGATAAATGCAGCTCTTAATACTGACTAAAACCTAAGATGGTGAGTAGAAGGATTTTGTTTCTTGTTTTCAAAGCTTTAACAAGTAAATGGTACACCGCAGGCACTTACAAAAAATACTTGTTGATAGATTGATACTTTTTGCTATCAAATGAGTGCTGATAGGGCAAAAAGCTTTGCTTATAAATAAACCTCTTTGTATAAAACTTAGGATGTTTTATAAACAAGACTCATCTATATACTGCCTACAAGAGACATGCTAATACACTACAAATGAAGGGATGGAAAAGGTATTCCATGCAAATGGAAACCAAAGAAAGCTGGGGTAGCTATACTTACTATCTGACAAAATAGACTTTAAAATGACTGTGATAAGAAACATAAAAGCAAATTACATAATGAAAAAGGGTTCAATCCAATAAGAAGATATAACATGTAAATATTCATGCACCCAACATAGGAGCACCTAAATAGACAAAGCAAGTATTAACAGACCTAGAGGAAGAAACAGACAGCAGTACAATAATAGCAGAAGACTTTAATACCACTCTTACATCAATGGATAGAACATCCAGAGAGAAAATCAATAAGGAAACATCAGCCTTAAACAATATGTTAGAACAGATGGACTTAACAGATATTTACAGAACATTCCATCCAAAAGTGAGAGAATACACATCTTCCCAAGTGCACATGGAACATTTGCCAAGACATATCATTTGTTAGGACAAAGAAAGTCTTAATGTAAGAGTACTGAAATCCTATCAAGCATCTTTTCTGACCACAATGGTATGAAACTAGACATTAATTACAAGGAGAAAAACGAGAAAATTCACAAATATGTGGAGACCTAACAACATGCTACTGAATAATCAATGGGTCAAAGAAGAACTCAAAAGAGAAATTTAAAAAATACCTTGAGACAAAGGAAAATGAACATGTAATATAACAAAAGTTATGGGATACAGCAAAAGTTGTTCTCAGATGAAGTTCACAGTGATAAATGCCCACCTACCTCAAGAAACAAGAAAAGTCTTAACTAAACAAGCTAACTTTACACCTCAAGAAAATAGAGGGGAACCTGGGTGGCTCAGTCAGTCAAGCATCTGACTCAATTTCAGCTCAGGTCACGATCCCAGAACCCTAGGATCCAGACCTCCCTCAGCCAACCTGCATGGCTGGGAGTCTGCTTCTCCCCAACCCTCTTCTCTCCAACCTCCCTTTCCCTCCCCACCCCCAGCTTGTGCTCTCTCTCTCAAATAAATAAATAGGATCTTAAAAAAAAATTAGAGACACAAGTAAATGGAAAGATATCCTGTGTTCATGGATTGGAAGAATTAATGTTGTTAAAATATTGTCCATACTACTCAAAGCAATCTACAGATTCAAACCAACCCCTATCAAAAGTCCAAAGATATTCTCTACAGAAATAGAAAAAATCCAAATAGCCAAAGCAAATTCTGAGAAAGAACAAAGCTGGAGATGTCATGCTCTCTGGTTTCAAACTATATTACAAAGTTATAATAATTTTTAAAGTATAGCACTAGCATGAAAAGAGACAGATAGATTAATGGAACACAATAGAGAGCCCCAAAATAAACCCACGCATATATGCTCAATTAACTTATGACAAGGGAGGCAAGAATATATAGTGGTGAAAGGACGTTATCTTCAATAAATACTGGCAAACTGAACAGCCACATGCAAAAGAAGGAAACTTGACTACTATCTTATACCATACACAAAAATTTACTCAAAATGGATTAACGACTTGGAAGTAAGATCTGAAACCATAAAACTCCTAGAAGAAAATGTAGGCATACGCTCCTTGGTGATGATTTTTCTAGAAATCTTGGTGATGATTTTTTCAATATGACACCAAAAGCAAAAAAAGCAAAAGTAAGCAAGTGGGACTACATTAAACTCAAAGCTTCTGCACAGCAATCTTCATAATAGTCCTAAATTGAAACCACCCAAATGTTCAGCAGTTGTAAGAAAGATAAATATGTACAGCAATGAGCTTCAGCTACACTAACACCAAAATGTTGAAAGAAACAAGTCAAAAGATACATGATTCCATTCACTTAAACTTGAGAAACAGGAAATACAATATTCTTTAAGGCTGCATACATAGGTAGGAAAACTGTATATAGAGGCAAGAATGTGATTATCACCAAAGGATCATCATTACCTCCAGGGAGAAGAGAAGGGAGAGGTGTGATTGGGGAAGGGCATGTGGTGGGCTTCTGGGGTATCAGTAATATTTTAGTTCTTGAATTTGATTATGGTTACGAAGGTGTTCACTTTAAAATTATTCATTAAGCTGGCCACGGTAATGCACTTTTTTTTTGCATATGTTATCTTGTAGATATCAGGTGGGGGGAGTGAATATAAATCACTGAATACAAAACACATTTCTGGTCGAAAGGAAAAACTTATTGTAGGCTACAGTGATCAAAGGAATGCTTTACAGAGAACATAAGCTTTCAGCTCAGTTTTGAAGATTAAACAGAACTGAAATTGAGATGAGAATGTGTCTTCTTTATATATTCTAAAAATATACACCTAACAGAGTATAAATGGTTACTAAATATTAAGCTGAGGAAGCTAAGGAAGTATGGAAGATAAAGCTGAAAAAAAGAGATGAAGAAGCCAATAATTGTTTTCAAATTGTGGATTTTCAGAGGTTTTTAAAGTATTCTCATATACTTTATCTTATGGAAAATATGTTAAATCATTTAAACTTTTTCGGTATGCAATGGAGACTCACTGAATCTTTTTCAGTAAAGGCAAGGATATGAAAGTATTGATTAAAAAATATTCATCTGGTGGTGGCAGAATACAATAATCCAGGAATGAAGTTTTAAGTGCTGGAACTAAGGTGGTAACTAGCAGGATTAAACTGATTCTTAAAGAATGAATCAGTAGGTCCTGACGTTTTTCTTCACAATTATGGGAGATCAAAGACAACTATGCAAATCTGAGTACAGATGATAGGGAGAATGTTGATATCATGTTACCAATCAGACTTGGTATATTTAAAGATTAGCAAGTGGGGATACAGGATATTTAAATAGGAATGTTCAATAAGTGGCTAAAAATCCAAGAACAGAATCTAAGAGAGTTCATGATTAGAGATACAGTTTTTGTATTAGATTAATGGGGATATCCAAAAATTTAATTCAGAGTACTTCTTAGACTTATTCATCCTGTACAATTCTTTTCTTTTTTTTTTTTTTTAAGATTTATTTATCTGACAGAGATCACAAGTAGACAGAGAGGCAGGCAGAGAGAGAGGAGGAAGCAGGCTCCCTCCTGAGCAGAGAGCCCGATGCAGGGCTCGATCCCAGGACCCTGAGATCATGACCTGAGCCAAAGGCAGAGGCTCTAACCCACTGAGCCTATACAATTTCTTGATGCTTTACTATCTACAGGAAAATGGTAGAGAAAATCATTACTTATCTGACTCTGAGTCCAAAATAAAACTCTGGATTATTTAGAACGTTTCAAACAGAAAATCAATAAAGGAACACAATGTTGGAATCCGCTGACAATGGTGAACTCTCAAGTGACAAAACAGGGAGAGCTACCATCCAGACACTCACTGTGCAAAATGAATATTCATAAATAAAAGAAAGATGGGATTCAGTTTATGATTCTAAAACTGAACACGCAAATGCTAATTAAAAGCAAATTTTCTAATTAATGTGGTTTAGCCTTAACTAGGAATAATTGCACTGGAGATTTTAACAAGAAAAGAATAAAAGAAAAATCAGAACAGAGGACACATCATTATGGAGGATATTAAGAAGGAAATAATACAGTCTCTAAACTATTGAAGAATTAAGAAAAGGAAAATGTACAAAATAAAAAAGGAAAATGTACAAAGAAAAAAAAACTAGTAGTGAAAAAGCATAAAAACATCCCCAAGTAAAATGAATAGAAAGAGGGACACGAGGGTGGCTTGGTCAGTTAAGTGTCTGCCTTCGGCTCAGGTCATAATTCCAGAGTCCTGGAATTGAGTCTCGAGTTGGTGTCCGTGCTCAGGGGGGAGGCTGTTTCTCCCTCTGCCTGCCCCTCTCTCTCACACTCTCTCTGGCAAATAAATATATAAAATCTTAAAAAAAAAAAATACAAGTGGGGCGCCTGGGTGGCTCAGTGGGTTAATAAGCCTCTGCCTTCGGCTCAGGTCATGATCTCAGGGTCCTGGGATCGAGTCCCGCATCGGGCTCTCTGCTTGGCAGGGAGCCTGCTTTCTCCTCTCTCTCTCTCTCTGTCTGCCTCTCTGCCTACTTGTGATCTCTCTCTGTCAAATAAATAAATAAAATATTAAAAAAAATACAAGAAAAGTAATCTCAAAACAAATATAGATTAAAAGGAAAACAAAGAAATTAGCTATAGTCAGTCACGGTTTTAGTGTGACTAAAAATTTAATTGGCTCCTGGGTGGCTCGGTTGAGTGCCTGACTTCAGCTCGGGTTATGATCTCAGGGTCCTGGGACAGAGCTCCATGTCCATCCAGCTCCACACTCAGCAGGGAGTCTGTTTCTCCCTCATCCTGTGCCCTTTCCCCTACTCGTTCACGTGCGCAGGTGTGCGTGCGCGCGCGCGCACACACACACACACACACACACACACACACGCTCTCTTTCTCTCAAATAAATAAAATCTTTAAAAAAATAATTGATAGGTAGCTGCAGTTATTAATGTAAAAACATCATATAAAAACTGTAAAGAAAAATATTGATAAACACCATTTCAGTTTAAATTTACATTTCAGTTTAAATTTAACTTTTATTTTTTCAAAATACAACATATAATATTAGAAAAGCAATCATGCACTACTCTATCTTAACTACTATTTTCTTATTTCTAGTCTTTGTATGTATATTTTATAGCTGGAGTCATAAAATACATACTTTTGTGTTCTCTCCTTTTTAAAATGAAAAGTCTGCCAATGGAAGGAATGTAAAGTATTCTCCACACATTAACCTCTCTCAAAAGTAACTATGAGGAAAATACAGACCAAATAACTCACCCAACAAAACTTGTATAGTTGCTATTCCAACCCTAATCTGTCTGATTCCATATTCTATGCCATTTTCATTATACCTAGCTGCAACATTACTATTTGGAGTTAAATTAAGTTCTAGTAGGTCAAAAAGTAAACAGGCCTAGTATGGCATGAGAGTGTCATCTTCTACATGCTAGACTCGAGCTGTCCAATACAGTAGCCATTACCCAAATGTGACTATTTAAATTAATAAAAAATTTCACTTCCTCAGTTGCACTAGTCATATTTCAAGAACTCCAGAGTACATCTTCACATATTTCAAGTGGTGCCCAGCGCTCCCATACTGGACAGTGCCAACAGAGAACATTTCCACCATCACAGAAAATTCTATTGGACAGCGCTATGCTACACTTAGTGTTTGTGTGTGAAAATTGATTAAGGCTTAAGTTATTAGCAAATTTCTACTTGAGAAGTCATATTACTCTAGTCCAAGTATACAACATTTGCTAAGTTATTAGCCTTCCTCACCTTGCTTGATACCTTCCTCCATTCTCTGCTTTTTAATTTTCTCAATAGCACTCATCATTATCTGAAATTATCATGTTTACTTATTACCTGTACCCCAAGGAAATTCAAACTTCCTAAGAGGAAGAGCATTATCCATCTAGTTTATTATTGAATCTACTACAACAATACTTGGTACAAAGTGAATGTTCAAATAAATATTTGTTGAACTAATATGTTTGTAACTTCTGGAGCTTGTGGTAACTGGTCTCCAAAGATAGATTCCAACAAATAGTGTCACGCCTCCCTGTACATACATGTCACTCTTCACATTAAGTGGAGCTTATTTTCCCTCTGCACCAATACGAGCTGTCCCTGTGATTGCTCTGACCAGCAGAATATGGCAGAAGAGGCTTTCTGGAATCCTTGAGCCCAGGCCTTAGGAGAAATGGAAGTGTCCGCCTCTTTCTTTATGCAATGCTGGCTCTTGGGACTTTCCCTCTTGAAACCCAGCTACCTTAAGGTGAACAGCCATGTAGGGAGAAGAAGCAAGCCAGTCCAATGATCAGCTCTAGCTGAGCTCTTAGCCAACGTCACCACTAGCCATGTTTCTGGCTCAATCAGGCTTCTAGATGACAAGGAGTAGAAGCTACCACCTAGCTAAGCCTGGATAACCCACGAGAGTCCTGAAAGATCACTCAACTGTTATTTCAAGTCACTAAGTTTTGCATAGTTTATTACACAGCCAATACATAACTAAAGCGGATAAACATAACTGGCTGAAAATAACTTTGTCAATAAATTTAACATATGACCATCAAAAACGTACTCTCTTAACTGTTTAAACTGAAATATACCAGGTTCTAGAAATTTTAGCAAAAACAACTAAAAGATATTTCAGATTGTTTGTTTAACCTGTTACCTCTGAGAGATGCTAATACTTCTAATAAAAGTAAGACAGAAACAATAAAGCCTTTCCCAATAAACACATTCACTACTAAAAAATCCATAGTACATATGCCCTCTAACACCAGACATATATCATCTTCCCTCAAAAATGTTTCTCATCCTCATTTCATTTCTACTGATGACCCCCATTCCCTCAGTGACACAGGTTTGAAAAGTTGGTCAACTTTGATTTTTCTCAAAATATGTAACAACTGATAGGCATTCAAGATTTTATTTTAGACAGTGCCAACGTTTATTCCTTTCTTCCCAATCTCATTGCCCCAGACCTACACAAATACCCTTTTTGTTTTTAAATCTTATTTTAAATTTTACTGCAGCCTCTTAATTAGTTTCTTGTCTAGGTCTTTGTTGGCTCTAATCCAGACTATGGTCTCTAAATACTGTTTATAGATTAACCAAATCTAATATCACAGGTCAAAACTTGTAAAGTTTACTGGCTCATGAGGAAGATACCAAGTACCTGAGTTATCTTGCAGCAAAGACTCCCATTTTTCCACTCATCCTCAAACAGGACTGCATCCCTTCTTTAAATCTGCTTTCAGCCTTTATACCTTTGCTCATACTGCTCATTCCCCTTACAGTAGAATTCTCAAACATCTACTTAAAATTCCTCTCAAATTCTATTTGCTCTGTGAAGTCTTTCCTAGTTTACTCAAACTTTCTATGAATATTCACAGCATTTCTTACACCCGACCACCTAGAACATTCTGCCTTGTACAGGTGGATCTGTCTCCCACCCCCACATCCACTAAACTGTAAACTCTTTGAGGGCAGTTTATACATCCAACACATGTACATAGAAAAACAAACATAAGCATTTATAAACCACTATATAAAATGTACAAGTTTAAGTCACTATGTCTCATATATGGGAAAAGAAAAAACAGCACAAGATATTGTCAATGGAACATCTTACCTTTTTTTTTTTTTCAAAGTATTTATTTGAGAGAGAGAGGATGAGAAAGAGAGAGAGAGAGAGAGAGCATGAGAGGGCCAAGGGTCAGAGGGAGAAGCAGACTCCCCACTGAGCAGCGAGCCCGATGCAGGACTTGATCGGGAGACTCTAGGATCATGACCTGAGCCAAAGGCAGTCACTTAACCAACTGAGCAACCCAGGCACCCTGGAACATCTCACTTTTTGCTTCTACCATAAAACTGGCAAGGAAAGCAATAACAGTGGTAGCGGTAGGAATAATCATTCATTTATGATGATGCATTCTAGTTAGACATCTGTAAGAAATCACAAGCTACTTCGAAACAATGTTATAAGTATCAGAACCATGTAGTAATGAGTAACCTGAGACCTCTGGTGCTGGGTAAGATAGCACTATGATTTGTTCAATGTAACAAGCTCAAATTCTGAAGTCAGACCACCTGATTTGAATCTCAGCTCCCCTACCTTTTAACGATGTGGCCATGGACAAGTCACAATATGCTTCAATATTCAATAAAAATTTACTAAAGAATACTGTGGTCTAGGCATTGGGGATATAAAAAAAAAAGAACTAAAAAAAGTTCCTGACCTCAGGCTCAGGACTTTACCTTCTAGTGGGGAAGACAAACAATAAACAAATATAAAAAGTGTAAAAAAAAAAAAAAAAAAATGCAGGGTAAGGGATAGAGTGACCAGGAAGGCTATTTAGGTAGAATCTGGGAGAGACTTCTTTGAGGAGTGGCTTCTGAGTAGAAAGGGAACAGAATAAAGGAAAGGAAAAAGCCACATGGACCTCTGGAAAAAAGAACAGTCTAGACAAAGGGAGAAGCATGCCTGACATGAACAGGGAACAACGAGGCCCATGTAATTGGACTGGCATGAACCAGAAGAGGAGTCAGGGATGAGGAATCAGTTTTTGAAGGGCCTTGCAGGCCATGTCTATGACTTTTCTAGTGGACAGGAATCACTTCAAAAAGACTCTGAGCAGGAGAAAGACATGGTCTAACTTAGACTTAAAAATGGCTCATCCAAATTGCTGGATAGAGCATTAAGTTTAAGAAGAAAAGCAAGGAGACCCTATTGAGAGCCCACTGCAAAGCAGTGTAGACAAGAGGATGGAGGGCTGCACTTAGGTGGTAGCAAGGCAAGATGAATTTAGAGTATAGTTTAAAGGTGGAGAAAACAGTTGGTATGCTGATGGCTGATATGGGGGGTTGTGAACTCTCACTGGAGCTATTGTCTCAATTAACCTGGCTAATTCATACACTCATGAGAAATATTTAAAGACAAAAGGTGTTATAGGTCAAGCCTAAACACTAGTTTTATTTGGAGCATTTTAAAGAGCATATACTGCAAACATAAATGACTTAAAGCTGGGTAATGGATTTTTCCCCTCAACAATATTCTTGAATAATCATTTTTTTTTCCAGCAGCACATTTAAAAGTGCATCATGAACTATGAATAAAAATGTTCTACTTAGGAGTTCCTGGTGGTAAAACTCATAGAAGCATGCAGGTGCTTCCCACCCTTTCTCCCCCAGTGACTAGGTCCTTAAGGTTTTTACTCTCAGACTTATCCACAGTTCCTCTAAGCACTTTATCAACTATAGTTTAGGTTTTCCTACCCTGGCACTGGTTTCCACAGATTTCTATTCTGGTGACTTGTAATTCTCCGTATTCACCTCTATCTCTCCAATTTGAAGGGAGCAGTTTGCCTTGGAACCTCACTTCTCTGATGGATCCAAGAGTTGTTAGCTCTTCAATTTGTTCAGCTTTTTCCTTGTTTTTATGATGAAGTGATGTCTTCCACATTCCACGCTCCTTATATGCCAGACTGGAAACCGGACGTCTAGCACTCATTGCCATTTTCCTCATAAAGGCGTTGAACAATCTTGTTAGATGACTGCAAGGTTTATAATTTACATTGTAAATGATGTCTTTTACAAAAATATTTTTCAACCTCTGTGTCTGAATTAGATAAACAACTGAATGAATCACCTTGCTAAAGTCTCATACATTCTAATGTTTTTAAATTATCTTGGGCTCTTTTTTTTTTGTCTTAGCTTCTTCTGTGTAAACAATCCTATAACCTGTGAATGATTCTGTGGAAGGAATGGTTAGTTGGCTCAAAACAGCTCCCCTTTCACCCAACCACATTCCAACCCCTGAAATCTGTGAATATGTTATCTTATATGACAAAAAAGACTTTGTAGATTCAACTAAATTAAGGATCTTAAGGTTGGAAGATTTTTCCTGATTTATCCAGGTAGGTCCAACATAATGAGGGTCCTTATCAGGAGGCAAAAGGTTCAGAGTCACAGAAAGAGTTGTGGTGATCATAACAGAACAAGAAGTGATGATGTGATGATGGACGCAAAGGTTGGAATGCTGTGCTTGGAAGAAAGAAGTAGAAGCCACAAGCCAAGGAATGCAGACAGCCTCTACAAGCTGGAACGAACAGGAAATAAAATCTTCCCTACAGCTTCCAGAAGGAACACAGCCTGGGCAACACTTTGATTTGAGTCCCACAAGACTGATTTTGGACTTCCAACCTTCAGAACAGAGATAATAAATCTGTGTTGTTTTAAACACTGTCCCTCCCAAAACAGGCTCAATTTTTAAAAGCCTATAATCAACATAATTCAGTTTCAGGACGTCTTGCTGAAATAAACATATTACTTAGTGTAAGTGAATAGATAAAAATGATTTGAGAGATTCAATCAGAGTGTACTAACTCAATAACTCTGAGCAAAGCCAGGTAAGGGGGTTGATTAATCTATTTTAGTTCCCCCTACCTCCCAGGAACCCTCAAAAGCAACAGCAGCTGGAGACAGTTGACAAGGAGCAGCCAATGGGCTCTCCATTGTACTCCTGTTTATTTATCTCAGCCCTTCCTTATGTTTTGTTTGGACTTGGGAAACCCCTGACCTAAAACGCTCTAGTTTTCGTACTCTTCTTCTGGGAGATGTGTTATTAAGTTGTTCGTCTGAAAATAAGTTATTACCTGAAACAGGACAGGAACACTTAGAACAAAGAGGCATAAAATATACTGAAAAATTCAAACTCTTTCTTTGTCGCGTAAAATATGTGGCCATTGAAAGGTTCAAGAGGTGTACTTTCCTTCTTCAAAATAATTTTTAAAGGCTAAGGAAATGTTTGCAGTGCTATATCTTTGCAGATTTTTAAAAATTTCTTCTATTTATCACATTCTAAAATACCGTATACCTAGTTTTGAATAAATGGTCACCAAGAATAAGAATTGCTCGGTACTCTTTGTGCTGGAGTGGGTGGAAGAGGTTCCACTACAACGGCAGCGGCTACTGTAGCAGGTGCAAAGTGGAAAGAGCAGTGCAGGGTGGCGGGATCAAAGAGACTCGGAGACACAGGCGTTGGATTGGGGGACTGCTGGGGAAGGCTCACGGCGGCATCGTCCCCCCCGCGGCAGGGTGAGGGCCAGGTGCTACCGCCCGCCCCTTGCCCAGCTGACGCTCGCTCAGGGCGGGGCGGCCATTCACTCACCTGGTTGGTGACCTGAAATGAAGGCAGAAAACACAATTTAGGGAAACATCCCTCCAGTTCCAGAGCCCCGCTGCCCCGGATCCTCTCAGGCCAGGACTTACCTCGGACTTAGCATCCAGTCGCGGCTCGCTGCAGCCCTCCATGGCAGGGGACGAGGGCTCGGACCACCGATTGACCAGGTGGCCTGCCCCACCCCCGGCCGCCAACACTTCCGCTTCCTTCTCCTGCCCTTCGCGGCCTGGCGCACGCAGCGGAAGTGGGGGGAGCGGAAACAAACATATTTGTGTAACTCACCCTTACTGTCAATTAAACATCAATTTCAAGGAGATATTCATCAGTAAGGACATTTATATGGGGAAAGGTCCGAAGGTTATGGAGATACCTTGTGAGGGGAAGGACCGATTAGCTTCAGGATACCATCTTCCCCTTCTAACCTGTACACGTGGACTCTTCCCGTCTGCGCACTCCGGCTCACCCCCAGCGCTTTCTGCGCTCGCGCGCAGACTGGCGGCCGCCGGAGGAATTGATCCCCACCAAGTTTAAAAACAGCTGGAGACCACGCCTCTTTCCCTGTAGAAGTCGCTGGGCTGGAAGATGCCATTGGAAACTATAGTTGTGTGATTGGCTTTTGTCCCTCGGATTACTTCACTGGCCTAGCTGCGGGTGGGGTGGGGATGCTTTCTTTTATCATGATGCCACTGACCAACTCCGGCTCTCAGCGTGACTACGGGATGCCTTCTCATCGGGTCTTCCTTCTTTCCCCCTCCGCATCTCACATGCCTTCTCCTTAGTATCTAAAGCGATTTTTTTTTTCTCGCCAACTTTTTATTTTGAAAAACTTGAAATTTTTTGGAGAAAAGTTGCAAAAATAGTTCAATGAACATCCGTGTACCCTTCATCTAGATTCATCAATTTAACATTTTATCCATTTGCTTTACCTCTAGCTACGTATACGGTAATGACGGCGCTTCATCTCTAAATACTTGAGCATATAGTGCCTTAAAACAAAGACATTTCCTAAATCATCACAATACTACAACTACACTCAGGAGATTTAACATTGACAAAATACTATGATCTAACACGTGGGCCAAATTCAAATATCCCCAGTGGTCTCAATATTCTTTAGAACTGTTCCTCATGCTAACCCACCGCCAGAATCTAAGAACTACCGTTGAATTTGGTTATCATTTCTGCTCCATCTCTGCCAATCTAAAACTGCACCGGCGAAATGTCCTTGGGACTGCATTGGTTCTTTGTTGGAGGCTCTCCGGGATGATCCGTTTTCCACTTGTTGCCAGAACTCAGTTATATGCAGGTCCCACTTCCTTGCTGGCTTTTGATTGTGGGGTTCTTTATGTGGGAGGACATCAGCATTCCTTGTGGTCCTCTTCATCTTCAAAACCATTAATAGCAGTTAAGTCCTCCTCAAACTTAAAATCTCTGATCTCTTCTGCATCATCTCTCCTCTGCTGTCTTCTCACCAGTCTCTGAGTCCAGCTTGAGAATGTTCTGTTCTTAAGGTCTTAAATCATTATATTGAGCATTCTCAGATAATCCAGGATAATCTCTACCTCTTAAGGTCCATAATCACAATTATATCTGCAAAACCATTGCAGAGAAGTACCCAGATTAGTACTTGATTAAATAATCAGTGGATGAGACTCTTGGGGAGAGGAGCATCTTTAAAATTCTGCCACTGAACACAACCTCACAGGATTGTTGGAGAACTACATAGTTTTAATGCATGTAAAACTTCTAGAATCATGCCTGACATGTAACACTGAGAATCTGTGCCCAAAAGCCACTGACTCGAGGTTATTGCACAAAATTAAAAGTACTAACTGGCTTGGGAACATAGTCCCTGAATTAATCCAGTGATTTCTTTCTTATGAAAGAAAGTCTGGAAAGATAGAACACTGTGATGCATACCCAAATGGTATGTAAATTCCATTTGTCAGGGATTATTTCTCTGAAGCTCTTGGTTGCCATCAGATTATGCTCCCTGGCAGCATTATGCTCCATACAGGGCTGCACGCGTGCGCGTGCATACCCCCCTTAATTACATAAAAATGTTTCTGAAAGGTGAAAAGATGACATATATTAAAAAGTTAATTTTGTCTTTCTGTATCTTTCCTGCACTCCTTTTATTTTTTTTAAAGGTTTTTAAAATTTATTAATTTGACAGAAAGAGAGAGAGCATGCACAAGCAGGGGGGAGTGGGAGAGTAAGAGGCAAGCTCCCCACTGAGCAGGGAGCCCAATGTGCAGCTTGATCCCAGGACTCTGGGATCATGACCTGAGCTGAAGGCCCATGCTTAATGGAGTGAGCCACCCAGGCTCCCCTTTCATGAATTTCTTTTAGAACTGTTTTTTGTTTTTTGTTTTTTTTTCTGTAGACATTAGTGCCCCTTTTCAAAAATTGAAAAATTTGGGGAGAGTAAAATGTCTATAGTGTTTAGGCCAATGTCTGCCAGTTGTTAATCTTGCTTTGTGCTCCTGACACTTCAGCACGTGTGATCAACTGTTTACTTTTAAGACCTCCATCTTATTCAAGATCAGAACTTAGGCAAGTTTCAGACTTGGAAAACACAGATTTTATGAATAGAGTCAAAAATGCTAAAATTCAAGATGTATAGCCATAACTTCTGTTTTATTTATATTTATTTTTTGTGATTACGTGTTAAGTAGGACCTATAAGTAAGAAAACATGTTTTGGAGCTCCTAGCCAAACAAACAAAACCAGCACTGACAGATGTGTAGGAGGATGTCCCCAGAACTATGGCATGAACTCTGACCTCCGTATGTGTAATGGAGAAAACAAAACTGATACACATGAAGCAAGCAGTACTTTAATCAAAGCTTTTATTTTAGGGCTTTTCCATGCCAAGAGACATTAACCCAGCTCAAACTAGCCTGAGCAAAATAGCAAAATCATCCTGTCATAGGGTGACCTCTGACATGTAGGGGTGGAGCTAAGTGCAGGAATCTCACAGAATTCTGAGATTTTAATAGCAAAAGGGCCCAATCTCTGTTTCTCAGCTGTGTTCCGACTCAGTGTGTCTGTCTGTTGGCTTATTCTCTTGGGTTTCTCCCTATGTTGTAGAAGAGAGTATCTGCGCATAGATATATGACTGCTAGCACCGCTGAGGTCATAGCCTGTGGCTCATGATCCAAAGGGAAAGAGGAAGCTGCTCTTCTGTCTCAATTTTTTAAAAAGATTTTATTTTATTTTAGAGTGAGAGCACACATGCACACATGTGCAAGGGAGGGGGTGCAATGCACACCGAGGAGGAGGGAAAAGCAGTGGGGGAAGAATCTCCAGCACACAGACCCCACACTGGGCTCAATCTCACAATCCTGGATCATGACCCAAGCCAAAACCAAGAGTCAGAAACTTAACTGACAGAGCCACCCGGGCACCCCTTTCATCTCAATTCTTTTTTTCTTTTCTTTTTCTTTTTTTTTTTTTTTTTTAAATATAATGTATTATTTGCCCCAGGAGTACAGGTCTGTGACTTATCAGGCTTACACATTTCACAGCACTCACCATAGCACATGACCTCCCCAATGTCCATAACCCAGCCACCCTAACCCTACCTCCCCACGCCCCAGCAACCCTCAGTTTGTTTCATGAGATTAAGAGTCTCTTATGGTTTGTCTCCCTCCCAATCCCATCTTGCTTCATTTTTTTTCCCTCCCTACCCCCCATGACCTTCCACCCTGCTTCTCAAGTTCCTCATATCAGAGAGTCCATCTCAATTCTTAAAGGGAGACTTTGATTTGCCTATTTGGGTCATATGCCCACCCCTTGGACCAATCCTGTGTCTAGGGTGATGCATTACTATTTTTTCCCTCTGCCCCCTATTGTGGCCGCGAGAGGTAGAATTGTGTAACTGGCAGTCCGTAGCAACAAAAGGGATAAGAACACATACCCTTCAGGAGACAGAGGTGAGGATGGTGCAACAAAACTTAGATGAAAAGGTACTGAAGGAACAAAAACAATAGATGTCCACTAAATACCTTTATTAATGCTATACTATACAATCGGTAGATATAATAGGCAAAATAATGGCCTCCCAAAGATGTGTTAAAAGATAAACTAAGGCCTGTTACAAATTTTTAGAGTTTATTTGAACAAAGAAATCGATTCCTATCAGGCAGTGCCAAGCCAGAAATGGTTAGGAACACTCCACTCACAGGAACTCAAGAAGAGATTTCATAGAGAAATGGGGGAAGCAAAGTAAGGAAGATATTGATTGGCAATGGCTTAAAGCCTAGTTGGCTGTGCGTGATTTGATTGTCCTTAGCGTTTTGACCTTGTAAACTTGAGGCATTTAGAGGTGTGGATTTTGGTTTGCTTCACAGAGGCCACCACAACATTAGATCCATCCCAGGCAAATGGGTTAATTTGTTTAATTAATAAATAGTCACTTCCCAAACCCCAGAATTTATGAATATAGTGTGTTACATAGCAAGGAAGGATTAAATTTACAGTTGGAATTAAGTTTGCTAATCCCCGAATCTTAAAATCAGAAGGTGTTCCTGGATTGCTGAGATGGGCCCCATGTCATCACAAGGGTCCTAATATGTGGAAGATGGTGACAAAGGAGTTAGAGTCACAGAGAAAGAGTCAGTGGTGGAGGACAAGAGCTAAAGAAAGCAGGCAGCTTCTAGAAGCTGGAAAAGGAATGGACACGGATTCTCTTATACAAGAGCACAACCCCGCTGCCACTTTGATTTTAGCCCAGTACAACCCATTTCGGATTTCTGACCTTCACACTGTAAGATAACAAGTTTACATTGTTTTAAGCCACAAAGTTTGTGGTTGTTTGTTCCAGCAGCAGTGGGAAACTAGGATAGCACCGGAGGCTTTAGAGGTACATAGGCCTGAATCTAAATCTGTCTTCCACCACTCAGCTGTGTGACTTCAGTAAAGGTGGCCTTCCTGAACAACAGCTTTCTAATCCGTAAAAATGGGGCTATTCATATTTGACTTAGACGGTTTTTACTAACTGTTAAATGAGATCACAACATAGTGAAGTCCCTGAATCATGGTTAAGTACTTAATAAATACTGGTTCCTATTATAACCATCATGATATTCAATTCTCAAAAAAAGACTAAGTGATCTTCAGCATACATTGTTTCCATTTTA